GAGTAACTGGGACTACAGGTACATGCCACCGCGCCTGGCTATTTTTATATTTTTAGTAGAGATGTGGCCAGACTGGTCTTGAACTCCTGGCTTCAGGCAATCTGTCCGTCTTGGCCTCCTAAAGGGCAGTGCTTACAGGCATGAGCCACGGTGCCTGCCCAAATCTATGTCAAATGTTAATATGGTTCTAAAAGTCAAAACTATATAAAAAGGGTTAACCAGAGAAATGCTACTTCCTCTCCTGTTCTTTTGTTTTTGGAGACAGGGTCTCATGCTCTCACCCTGGCTGGAGCGCAGTAGCGTGATCACAGCTCACTTTAAGTCTTGACCTCCTGGGCTCAAGGAATCCTCCTGCCTTAGCCTCCTAAGTAGCTGGGGTCACAGGTGTGTGCCACCATGCCTGGCTAATTTTTTTTTTTTGAAGATGGGATTTTGCCACGATGCTTAGGCTAGTCTTGAATGCCCGAGCTCAACCCAGGAGCCTTCCTTTGCCTCCCAACGTGCTGAGGTTATAGGCATCAGCCACTGCGCCTTGCCCTGCTTCTGTTCTTTCTGCCTCGTTTCACTACCCTTATAGGTAACTACTAATATCATTTGTTCTTGGCTTTTCCTTCTTCTTCTTCTTCTTTTTTTTTGAAAAAATAAACACATTGATTTTTTTTTTTTGAGAGGAAGTTTTGCTCAAGTTGCCCAGGCTGGAGTACAATGGCATGATCTTGGCTCACAGCAACCTCCTCCCCCATGTTCAAGGAGTTCTCCTGACTTTGCCTCCCGAGAAGCTGATATTACAGGCATGTGCCACCATGCCCAGCTAATTTTGTATTTTTAATGGAGACGGGGTTTCATCATGTTGCTCAGGCTGGTCTTGAACTCCTGACCTCGGGTGATCTGCCTGACTCAGCCTCCCAGAGTGCTGGGATTACAGGTGTCAGCCACTGCGCCCGGCCACACTGATTGATGTTCTTAATTCTTTTTCTTGTGTAAAAGGTAGTATATTACATATATTCTTTTGTACTTGTTTTATGTTTTGTTTCGGTTGCTACTGTATCCTGGAGGTCAGTCTGTATCAGCTTACGGAGATTTTCTTCATTCATTTTCTCAGCTGTGTGGTACACTAAGTGTGCAGGTACTGTGTTTTGTTACCAGGCTTCAACATATGGATGTTTGTTTCCAGTGTTTGCTAGTTACAGATAATACGTCAGCAAATCACATTGCATAGGAGTGTTTTTGTACTGTCGAAGGTGTATCTTGAGTGTAAACTCCTAGAAGTGGAATTACTGGGTCAAAAAGGAAACATACATGTAGTGCTACTAGATTTTGCCAGAGTCGTCTTCATAATGGTTTTGTTGTGTGCATTCTCAGCAGCAGTTCATGAAGCATTTCTTCCATAGATTCACCAACACAGTGTGTTGTCAGGCTTTTATGTGAAAAATGGCATCTCTTACCATTGATGAGCATCTTTTTAAATGTTTAAGCGTCATTTTTTTTTTGGTTTTTCTTTGATGGACTGTCTGTCCAAATCTTTTGGTCATTTTTTTTTCTGTTGGATTTTCAGTTATTTTTTTCTCCTTTAATTGTTATGACCTTGATAGATGTGATGTGGAGATTAGCTCTTTGTGATATGCATTGCATATAGTTTTAAATCACATTATCATTTATGTTTTGGCTTTGTTTATAGTAATCTTGCTACATTTTAATGTAATCGAATATATTAATCTTTTGTCGCATTTAGGTTTGTATGATAGAGAGCGTTTTCCATGGTCCAGGTTTTAGAGGAATTTACCTGTGTTTTTTGAACTTCTTTTATGGTTTTCTGTTTTCTGTTCAGATCTTAGATCCATTTGGAGTTTCCTCTTGTGTCTCCCGTGAGATGCGGGTTTTCTTTTGTCTTTTTTTCCCCAGGTGGCCACCCAGGTGTCCCAGGACCATTATTAAACAGTCTGTCTTGGCCCCAGTGATTCCAGGCGCCATGTCCTGATGCTGGAGGACTTGATCCCACACTGCCGCCTGTGGATGCCCTGTCTTCCTGCCATTCCTGTCTCCATCTGTAGAATGGAGTCCACGGTGCCCACGTAGCAGGTTTTTGTTCTCTAGTTGGACGGCAGTTGTTTGAGACCCAGGCTGGTGCTAGCCTGTTAGCCATGGCTGAAGTTATTGCCACGTTGGTTCTTGGTGTACCTAAGCGCTTTTTGTTCTTTCTTCTCTGTAGGAGAGAAAGGTTTGGCTTTCTCTCTTTGGCCTCATCCATCTCTGCTTTCTTCCTTCTTTTTTTTTTTGCTTTATCTTATCTGTATGTCTGGGTTTCCGGTTTTGTGCCTTGTGTACAGCCTTGTGCATAGCAGCAGCTCACTACGTATCTCTTTAGTGGATGATGAAACCATTGTTGGATCGATGCTTGAGAACCTTTGTGGTGGTGCCTTTTTCAGCCTCCCCGTCCCTGTGACTTCTCCTCCTCCATGCCCTTTCTTTGTGTCTGCTCCTGTCTAGGTCTCAGCCTCCTGGCATTGATTTTCTGCCTGTAATCTGCAGGCTATGTGTTTTGACGGCTCTGGTTCACTACTTCATGATGACATCTCACATGGACTGTCACACTCTACAGATGCCAAGGAAGACCAAATCTATGGCTTCCTAGTGTTTTTAGAACTCATTACTCTTTCGTTGAATAAAATTAAATTGGTCTGACCCACTAAGCTCTCCAGGGAGCTATGCTCTTGTTATTTTCCTATGGTTTATATTGTTCTTGGTTGCTCCACATAGAAATTTTTCCTCTAGCTTTTATATTGAAATTTAGTTTAATGACTGGGCGTGGTGGCTCACACCTGTAATTCCAGCACTTTGAGAAGCTGAGGTGGGCGGATCACTTGAGGTCAGGAGTTCAAGACCAGCTTGGCCAACATGGTGAAACCCCATGTCTACTAAAAAAACAAAAATTAGCGGGGTGTGGTGGCGAGTGCCTGTAATCCTAGCTACTTGGAAGGATGAAGCAGGGGAATTGCTTGAAACCAGGAGGTGGGGATTGTAGTGAGCCGAGATTGCACCACTGCACTCCAAGCTGGGCGACAGAGCAAGACTTGGTCTCAAAAAAAAAAAAAATTAAGTTTATCAAATTAGCCCTTGTGACTGGAGATGCCCTTTCTTTAAAAGATGGAGGGAGCACTTGTTCCTTCTCTGTGGCAGGGGATTTCCCTCTAATGGTTTGATCATTTACTTCTCGAGAAGAGATGAGATACCATATGAAGAATGAAAGACCCACCTCATTCTAACCCCTGCCAACCATTTCTCCAAGGGAGAGAAGGAGTAAAACTGAACGATGTAAAGATAATTCATTAGCGCTAATGAAATAAATCAAGACTCCTTGCCACTCATTAAATATTAACTTATACTAGAAACAAATGTATTATAAGCATGAAAAGCATGTAAAGCACCCCACTTCTGTGGATAAGAACAAAGGCCCAAGGTGGCTTCTGCTTTGAGTCACCAGCTCTGTAATTGTGAGAACTAGTAAGGAGATTGAACCTCTCTAGATCTTGGCTCCTCACCTGCAGAGATGGGGTACACAAGTATGCTCTCATAGAGTTGCTGGAGATGATGACATGTGTGGACATTCCTGACATAGGTCCTGCTTTCTGCTAAGTGTGAAAAAATGTCGCTTTTGCCCTAATGGCATTATAACAACCCGTGTAAATGCTCACCGCTCCAAGGGATGCCTGGTGCCTGGGAGATGGAATTCTCAATTCTCTGACTACGCACAGTTTATGTCACCAGGTCTTGGTGATTTGGATCTATTCTTTAAAAAGTGCATATTTGAGATATATTTTTCCAAGTTTGCCCTTTTCTATTATTATTTATAATTCTTCCCTCTTGTCTCTTGCTGTGATTTTCACAAAATCAGCAGGAAACAAAGTTCTAAACCACCTGCCTCTTCACAGTTCTGTTCCAGTCCTTTCTTCCCTTACTATAAGAGGATTTTGCACATGAAATGCTTTGTTCCCCTTTTCTTAGGGTTCTCTGCCCATTTGTCCATCCACCTCTCCACTTACCTCTTTATTCTTCTGTCTTGTTCCAAAAAGCAGTTGAGGCAGCTTATAGAGTTAAGAGAACAAACAATAAGCAGATGAAAAAACCGGACCAAGGTTAGAAAACAAGGGTGAGAAGTGAGCCTGCGCGGGTGATGAGGGGTGTGAGATGCGTGTCCCTGGCCTTGTGAGGTTATAGAGATGGGCGGCAGGCTCATCCCTGAGCTTCCCAGTGGCGCACAGGAAGCAGGATTGTGGGAGATGCTCACTCTCTGTAAGCTAACCAAGTGGTTTCGGAGAAGTCAAGCTTTTCCTGCTATTGAGATTTTGGAGAATATTTTGAGTGTTCTGTGAAGTCAATGAATATTTTATCTTTATTTTTTTTTCTGCCAGAGTTCTCTGTATAGTTGGTTATATTCTTTAAATGGAAGTTTCTCCAAAATGCTTGCCCATGTGGGTTTGGTGGCTAGGAAATCAGATACTTCTGCTTATTGATAGCAGTTGGTCAGAAATAGAAAATGATAGACATAGAAAGCATACTATCATTTATAAGTTTTTTTTTTAATGCTGTATGGTTCAGAAAATGCTTTTGTGTAGTCGATCTCCTTTGAAGATGCGTGGTGGTTCCTTGCTAACATGAAGAGCTTCAAGCCATGAGAGAATGTGCGCTGACTTCACCATTGCCCTCAAGACAATTGAGCTAGTTCCTGTAAATATGTTACTTTTATGTAATGCATTTCATGTTCTTCAATAAAAAATTCCAACAGAGAGGAAAACTTATTCTGAGTTAATTAACATTTAATACAATGCTTTGATAGCAAGGCTATTATGGGAACATAGAAGCAGTGAAGACTAAACACTTTCATACTTTAAATTTCAGTAGGGCACATTTAAGTTTTATCTCATTCATGCCCTTCTTTAAACTAACAAAGAAATAACAGAGAAAAGCAAAAGATTAATCTTTTTCCTCCTCTCGATTTGCAGGTGCCCTCACCACCAGCGGCATCAATCCCGACACCAGCACGGAGATTGGACGCGCTAAGAACTGCCTCAGCCCCGAAGACATAATTGACAAATATAAGGAGGCTATTTCCTATTACAGCAAGGTAATTTTATTGATGTGTAAGGTTTTTACACAATTGTGTGGCTTTAATCAGAAGCTCCCATTTTACATTGCGTGGTGCTGCACTATCTCTTAATTATTTGTTTCTGTAAGTATTCATGTCTTACATGCTAATGCACAGCACTATATGCCTAAAATGTTTTCTGTTTCTTATTCAAAACTGTGTAGGTTTAGTATCATAAATTTGGGAAAGGGAGAAAAAGGCTACCCTGGCCCCAGTATTCACAGATAATGATTGTTAATATTTGTATATCTATTTTCTGGTCCTTTAATCAGTGTATACTATTTATATTTTAAGACATGGAGCTACTTTGCTTACTTACTGTGTGGCGACCCATGTTTTCCGTTTGGCATAGTATGCATTTCTCTGTGCTATTGAAATCTTCTGTGGCATAATGTTCAGTGACCCGTAGAAGCTTCCGTCTTGTGGAGGCACCCTTCTTTTTCGTTTGGATTGAAAACAATTTCGAATTCCAAATGTACTTACTAAAATACTGAAAAAGAAAAGTTGTGCAAAAGACTGACATGACTCCTCTACCCTCACTAACAACTTGGTTTATTGATTATCAACAACTCAGTCCATAGCCTTCATGACCTTTATCTATGCCTATGAGACACAGACAGACAGACACACACACACACACACACACACACACACACATGCATGTATGCACACATGCACATGCACACATGTACATCTTATTTACAAAAATGGGATCATACTATGTTGTATCATAGACCATGGGTGTACTCTCACCTCCAGAACTGCTTGTTTCTTTCAGATAGTGTGGAAAGGTTTTCTAAAATGTGGACATAGTCATGTGTTCATCACAGCATTTTCTGAGACATGCTCCTAAACCCCACCTAGAACGAGAGGAAATGCCTGCTCTTACAGATTTCACAGCTTGCCTTAATTTACTTAATTATTCTCTTGTGGTTGGATACTTGGGGTTGATCACTTTTTCACTGTGAATTAGAAAAAACATGATTTAGCAAACATTCTTGCCCCTATATTCTTGTGTTCTTGTATCAGTATTCCATTAGGTTCAATTTTTCTAGAAATTTATCCTGGATATTAACATTTATTTATCATAGGTTATATTCAAGTTACTCTCCAAATTCCTCTTCTAATAGAGAATGAAAAGATGTAGAATCATTTATTTCACCAGTGCCGTTACTGATTATGTTTTATTTTCATTTTTTCTTCCCCCATTGTAAACAGTTAACTGATAAATGTCCCTATAGATACATCTTTTTGGATTGACTTTTTTTAAAGGGAACAATTCCTAGAAGTTGAGTTGAGTTAAAGAGTATACTTTTTTTTTGGCCAGGCACAGTGGCTCACACCTGTAATCCTAGCACTTGGGGAGGCTGATGCAGGTGGATTGCCTGAGCTCAGGAGTTTGAGGCCACCCTGGGCAACATGGTGAAACCCTGTCTTTACTAAAATACAAAAAATTAGCCAGATGTGGTTGCATGCGTCTATAGTCTCAGCTACTTGGGAGGCTGAGGCTCAAGAATCACTTGAGCCTGGAGGCGGAGTTTGCGGTGAGCTGAGATCACACCACTGCACTCCAGCTTGGGCTGCAGTGAGACTCTGTCTCAAAAAAACCAAAAAGTATGCATTTTAAAAAAGTGTTATATATTCCTATATTGTCCTCCAAAAAGGTTATTAACAATTTACTCCTCCATAAACACTAGCTATTATTAAAAAAAAAAATTCGCCAATACAGCCAGGTGTGCTGGCTCATGCCTGTAATCCCAGCACTTCGGGAGGCTGAGGCAGGTGGATTACTTGAGGCTGGGAGTTTAGTATTATGCTTAGAAATGCTTTTTTTGTGACAGAGTCTCACTCTGTTGCCCAGGCTGCAATGCAGTGACATGATCTAGGCTCACTACAACCTCTGCCTCCTGGATTCAAGTGATCTTCCTGCCTCAGCCTCGTGAGTAGCTGGGACTCCAAGTGTGAGCCACCACACCCGGCTAATTTTTTATGTTTTTAGTAGACACAGGGTTTCACCATGTTGGCCAGGCTGGTCTCAAACTCCTGACCTCAAGTAATTTATCTGCCTTGGCCTCCCAAAGTGCTGGGATTATAGGCGTTGGCCACCGTGCCAGCCCTGCTTAGAAATACTTTCTTAACAATAGAATTAAACTCTTTTCTTCGGTTTTTTTAAATCTCTAAAATGGGGATGATAACAGTACCCATCATCTCATAGAACTGAGGTTAAGATAAGCTGAGATAATATATGCAAACATATATTTGTATTCACTATTATTAGCATTTAAAATATTTTTTATCATTATCTATAATTTATTTTGTGTGTATTATTACATAAGAATACAATTTATTTTTTTCAGGTCATTATCTCATTGTCCTACCACGATGTATTGAATTCATATTTTTTTCTCTTTGATTTGAATTCTCACCTGTACTAAATACTTTCACATACTTGTGTCTGTTTATTAACTTTTCATCCTTTCTATGAGTCTTTTTTTTTCAGCACCATGTTTTATGTATTTGAGTACTTTACTTAATATCTCAAAGTGTTTCTTTCTTTTTTTGGAGACAGGGTTTTGCTCTGTTATCCAGGCTGGAGTGCAGTGGTGTGATCACGGTTCATTTCAGCCTTCATCTCCCAGTTTCAGGTCGTCCTCCCACCTCTGCCTCCCTGTTTGCTGGGACTAGAGGTGTGCAACACCTTGCCCAGCTAATTTTGTCTGGTATTTTTTGTAGAGATGGGGTTTTGCCATGTTGCCCAGGCTTGTCTTAAACTTCTGGCTCAAGCACTCTGCCTGTCTCGGGCCTTTCAAAGTGCTGGGGTTACAGGCATGAGCCACTGCACCCACCTTTTTTTTTTTTTTTTTTTTGAGACAGGGTCTTGCTCTGTTGCCCAGTCTGGAGTACAGTGGCACAATCACAGCTCACTGTAACCTCAAACTCCTTGATTCAAGCAATCCTCTCACCCTCAGCCTCCTGCCTCACTGAGCCTCACTCAGATGACCAAGTAACTGTAACAACAGGTGCACGCCACTGTACCTGGCTAATTTTTTATTTGTAATGATGGAGTCTCTCTATGTTGCGCAGGCTGGTCTGGAACTCCTGGCCTCAGGCAATCCTCCCACCATGGCTTCCTGAGAAGCTGGGATCAAAGGACGAAGCTACTGCACATAACCTCCCAGAATGAAATGTATTGAAAGCCCCTATCAAAACTTCAATCTGATCTTTTTTAAACTTGAACAAATTATTTTAGAATTTTTGAGGAATAATAAGTAAATTATACGAGCCATGAAAATTTGGTTGGGTGGAAAGAATTAAAAAAAAGAAAAGAAGTTGAGTGCAGTGGCTCATGCCTGTAATTCTAACACTTTGGGAGGCTAAGCTGGGGGCATCACTTGAACTTGGGAGTTCCAGACCAGCCTGGGTAACATGGCAAAACCCTGCCTTACAAAATATACAAAAAAATTAGTGGGGTGTGGTGGTGCACACCTGTTGTCTCAGCTTCCAGGGAGGCTGAGGTGGGAGGATCACCTGAGCCTGGGCGATTGAGGCTGTAGTGAGCTGTGATCACACCACTACACTCCAGCCTGGGCAACAGAGCAAGACCCTGTCTCAAAAAAAAATTTTTTTTTCATGGTTTCATTTTAAATAGCTTTGTAATGTTCATTAAAATACATAAATTTAACCAAAAATATGTGGAAAAATTTGCAGTGACTTTTAATCTCACTTCAATAGAAACTGTTTTAAAAGTTTTGAAGGAAAAAGAGTATTTCCATAGAATCAAGTCCCTATGTTAGTTTTTTCTTGTGTTGTAAAACAGTATATACAACTGATAGATATCTGACTTCATTGTTGGTATTTAAATAAGTGTGAATAGCTTCTTTTTCTGATGGGCTGTGATAACACAGATTACATATATGTTAAGTGTGTGGAAAGGGGAGGAATGAAGCCTACCCTTTCTGGCATAGTAAGTATAAAACTGCTTGTCCCCCCTTATGCATAATTTAATGAGGAAGATGACCAGTTGCTCCTTTGCTTTTTCATGGTTAGTAAATAGACTGCATGTTCACGAGCAGTGATGCCATGCCAGGCCTCTAGTGGGTCTCAGCAAAGGCTTGTTCGTTACATGCATTGGTTTTCACATGCAAAAGAATATTAGTGTGTTACTCCTCCCAACCTCCGTTTCTCTTCAGGTACTAGTATGCATGGACTTAACCTCTATAAAGCCTTTCTTTAATTTTAAATTAAATTATGTGACATCAGATGAAAATCACTCCAGCTGGGATAACTAGGAAAAAATAAACAATAAAAAAGGTTTGGAGTAGAAAAGAAAAACGCAGAATGGCTAGCATGGGAGATTTTGCAGTGGAGGCTTGGGAGGGAGAAGGGCACTGGAGGGAAGGAAGGAGATCCATCCATCTGAACTCTTCTTTCATTTATTTTTTTATTTTTTTGAGATAGAGTCTCTCTCTGACACCAGGCTGGAGTGCAGTGGGGCGATCTTGGCTCACTGCAACCTCTGCCTCCCAGCTGAACTCTTCTTTTTTGGAAGAGTTCTAGAACCCAACTCCTTCCTCCTTTCCATGCTCCTGGGTCTGGAACCACATGGTGTGTAAGAGGGGTGGTGGGGGGCGGGTCTCCTGGCTTGAAGCTAGGAGAATTGGGGGTGAAGCTTGAGAAAACTCCCCAGTTTATTGCGTAGTCGAATGCAGTTCCGCAAAGCCCTTTCTGTTCCAAATGCCCTCATTTGTTCTTCATCTCAGGAACCATAATAGGAACTGAGAAATAGGAACAAGCAACTCTGAGACAAAATCAGAAAGCATTGCACACACAGGGAGTCAGATTTTTTGCAGCTAAGTCAAATGACTTTAAACAACTGCATTAAAGCTGCAGGTGTGAGAGTTTCTAAAAATGTTTTGAGTACTACAGGGGATGATAGGCAGAACCGAATAGCAAAGTATTCATTGATAACATTTTGAAATTTTGCAAAAAAGCAAGCTACTGTGGTCATATTATTTTAATGAATGCATGCACATTGATGCATTCATAGACTCACTCAGCCCCACCAATCTCTTTTGCTCCCATAAAGGATAGACTTTCTTACAAATTCTCCAGCCTTGGTGGGGAGGTGTATTAGTCTATTTTCTTTTCTTTTTTTGAGACAGAGTTTCGCTGTTATTACCCAGACTGGAGTGCAATGGCATGATCTCGGCTCACCGCAACCTCCGCCTTCTGGGTTCAGGCAATTCTCCTGCCTCAGCCTCCCGAGTAGCTGGGATTACAGGCACACACCACCATGCCCAGCTAATTTTTGTATTTTTAGTAGAGACGGGGTTTCACCTCGTTGACCAGGATGGTCTTGATCTCTTGACCTCGTGATCCACCCGCCTCGGCCTCCCAAAGTGCTGGGATTATAGGCGTGAGCCATCGCGCCCGGCCATATTAGTCTATTTTCATGCTGCTGATAAAGACATACCGGAGACTGGCAACTTACAAAAAAGAGGCTTAATTGGACTTACAGTTCTCTGTGGTTGGGGAGGCCTCATAATCATGGTGGAAGGCAGGGAGGAACGACTCCTGTCTTACATGGATGGCAGCAGGCAAAGAGAGAATGAGGAGAGGACTCTAAAGCGGAAATCTCTGATAAAACCACAGATCTAGCGAGACTCATTCACTACCACGAAAACAGTATATGGGGGAAGCCACCTCCCTGATTCCATTATCTCCCACCAGGTCCCTCCCACAACACATGGGAATTATTGGAGTACAATTCAAGATGAGATTTGGGTGGGGACACAGAGTCAGACCATATCATTCTGCCCCTGGCCCCTCCAAATCTTATGTCCTCACATTTCAAAACCAATTATGCCTTCTCAAAGGTCCCCCAAAGTCTTAACTAATTTCATCAGTGACTCAGAAGTCCATAGTCCAAAGTCTCATCTGAGACAAGGCAGGTCCCTTCCACCTATGAGCCTATAAAATCAAAAGCAAGCTTCCTAGATATATTAGGGGCATAGACTTTGGGAAAATACAACCGTTCTTAATGGGAGAAATTGGCAAAACAAAGGGGCTGCAGGCCTCATGCACGTCTGAAACCCAGCGGGGAAGTCAAATCTTAAAGCTCCAAAATGATCTCCTTTGACTCCATGTCTCACATCCAGGTCATGCTGATGCAAGAGTTGGGTTCCCATGGTCTTGGGCAACCCTGTACCTGTGGCTTTGCAGGGTACAACCCCCATCCTGGCTACTTTCACTGGCTAATGTTGAGTGTCTGTGGCTTTTCCAAGCACGTGATGCAAGCTGTCGGTGGATCTGCCATTCTGGGGTCTGCAGGACAATGGCCCGCTTTTCACAGCTTCACTAGGCAGTGCCCCAGTAGGGACTCTATGTCAGGGCTCTGACCCCACGTTTCCCTTCTGCAGTGGCCTAGCAGAGGTTCTCCATGAGAGCCCTGCCCCTGAAGCAAATGTCTGCCTGGGCATCCAGGCGCTTCCATACATCTTCTCAAATCTAGGTGGGGGTTCCCAAACCTCAGTTCTTGACTTCTGTGCACCTGCAGGCTCAAAACCACATGGAAGCTGCCAAGGCCTGGGGCTTCTACCCTCTGAAGCCATGGCCCAAGCTCTATATTGCCTCCTTTCAGCCTTGGCTGGAGTGGCTGGGACACAGGGCACCAAGACCCTATGCTGCACACAGCACGGGGACTCTGAGCCTGGCCTGCGTAACCACTTTTTCCTCCCAGGCCTCAGGTCTGTGAGGGGAGGGGCTGCTGTGAAGACCTCTGACATGGCCTAGAGATGTTTTCCTCATTGTCTTAGGGATTATCATTTGGCTCCTTGTTACTTATGCAAATTACTGCAGCTTGAAGTTCTCCTCAGAAAATGGGATTTTCTCTTCTATCAAATTGTCAGGCTGCAAATTTTTCAAATGTTTATTCTCTGTTTCCCTTTTAAAAGTGTGAATGCTTTTCACAGCACCCAAGGCACCTCTTGAATGCTCTGCTGCTTAGAAATTTCTTCTGCCAGAGACCCTAAATCATCTCCCTCAAGTTCAAAGTTCCACAGGTCTCCAGGGCAGGGGCAAAATGCTGCCGTTTCTTTGCTAAAACATAACAGGAGTCACCTTTGCTCCAGTTCCCAACAAGTTCCTCATTTCATCTGAGACTGCCTCAGCCAGAATCTTTTTGTTCATATCACCATCAGCATTTCTGCAAAAGCCATTCAACAAGTCTTGAGGAAGTTCCAAACTTCCCCACATCTTCTTGTCTTCTGAGGCCTCCAAACTGTTCCAACCTCTGCCTGTTACCCAGTTCCAAAGTTGCTTCCACATTTTCAGGTATCTTTTTAGCAACACCCTACACTCGGTACCAGTTTACTGTAAGTAGTCTGTTTTCATGCTGCTGATAAAGATATACCAGAGATTGGGCAATTTACAAAAGAAATAGGTTTAATTGAACTTAACAGTTCTATGTGGCTGGGGAAGCCTCACAATCATGGCAGAAGGCAAGGAGGAGCAAGTCACATCTTACATGGACAGAATGAGGAAGACGCAAAAGCAGAAACCACTGATAACATCAGATCTCATGAGACTTATTCACTACCGCAAGAACCATATGGGGGAAACTGCCCCATGATTCAGTTATCTCCCACCAGGTCCCTCCCACAACATGTGGGAATTAGGGGAGTACAATTCAGTATGAGATTTGGGTGGGGACATAGAGCCAAACCGTATCAGGAAGGGTTTCTGGAGCTGTGTGCTGGGGGAAGTGCTGTTATAGTTAACGGAGTCCCAGTAACACAGCATTTAGAATGTGATAGAAACATCTCAACTCTTTTTTGACGGAGGCACTTCCTTTACACCCTGCAGTATAAGAATGCTGGAGTGATTGAGTTGGAAGCCTGCATTAAGGCGGTACGTGTCCTTGCAATTCAGAAACGGAGCATGGAAGCATCAGAATTCCTTCAGAATGCAGTTTACATTAACCTTCGACAGGTGAGTGTATGTCTACCTATAAGTGGAAGTGTTAATCCAGTTCTTGTGGAGTTTATTCACCGTGAATTCAGCTTATTTCATTCTGCTGAGGTTCAGCATGCCGTGATAAAAACTGTTGAATCTGAACTCCTTTTTTTTTTTTTTTGAGGCAGAGTCTTGCTGTGTCACCCAGGCTGGAGTGCAGAGGTGTGATCTTGGTTCACTGCAACCTCCGCCTCCCCGGTTTAAGCAATTGTCTTGCCTCAGCCTCCCCAGTAGCTGGGACTACAGGTGCGTGCCACCATGCCTAGCTAAATTTTTATATTTTTTAGTAGAGAAACCAAGGCCTAGCTAAATTTTTGTATTTTTTAGTAGAGATGGTGTTTCACCATGTTAGCCAGGCTGGTCTTCAACTCCTGACCCCGTGATCTGACTGCCTCAGCCTCCCATGGTGCTGGGATTATAGGCTTGAGCCACTGCACCTGGTCCTTAACTTGATTTCTAATTAACATGGTTATTTGTATATTTTACTTCTTTCATTTGTGTTTTTTAACTTTCAAAATTCAGAACTTACTGTCCTTTCCAATTTTTTTTTGGAATGGAGTCTCGCTCTGTTGCCCAGGCTGGAGTGCAGTGGCACAGTCTGGGCTCACCACAACCTCTGCCTCCTGGGTTCAAGCAATTCTCCTGCCTCAGCCTCCTAAGTAGCTGGAACTACTGGCCTGTGCTGTTATGCCCAACTAATTTTTGTATTTTTAGTAGGGATGGGGTTTCACTATGTTGGCCAGGCTGTTCTTGAACTTCCAACCTTGTGATCCTGCCACCTCAGTCTCCCAAAGAACTGTGATTATGGGCATGAGCTACCACACTTGGCTCAATTTTTTTTTTTTTTTGGTTTGTTTGGATAAATAACTGTCTTACCAGCTTTGCAATCTTGAATAAGCTTCATGCCTCTTGCCTTCATGTACGTGCCATTTGTAACCCTGTTTGGGGTGTTGGGTTTATAAAACATGCAATCTGTGAAAGTACTTACATAGCTCCTTTGACACAACTGTCAGATATTACTTAAATATTACTTAAATCTGAATCTGAATGGATTTGTAATAAAACAATGATCAAAACCTTTAGTTGTGAATTGACGCTAAATCCTAAAACTGATAGTCTTAGAAGGATTTTAGATATGTAGTTAGTTTAACTTGGATCTTGATAGACAGAGAAACCAAGGCCGAGTTAAACAATTTGCTTAAGGACACAAGACGAGGATGAGAATATAGGTCACTGTAATTCAGCAGATCCTTAGGAGGGCGTCGTGTTAAGGTGGGGCAAAGAGAGGTGAGGCAGGCGGGTCCTACCCTCATCCATCTGACAGTTTTGTGGGAAAGGCAGACATTGAGCCGTGGGGTAAGTGGAAAAAAAAAATGGAGGCACAGGTGCCAAGGGAGCAAGTGGCAAAAGGATTTAAGTTAGTTTGATGGAGGTGGAGGGTGTGGGGGCCAGGGACTGTCTCTAAGGCAGTGAGATTGGAACCGGGCCTTGAAGTGTGAATAGGAGCCAGGTAAAGAGAAGATGAACACAGGTCATTTGGGAAGAAATGGCTCAGCATGAGTGGTTCTCTGAGACAGACAGAGCACATCACTGGAAGAGACTAAATAAGTAAGAGACGGAGGTGGGGATGAAAGAGGGGGAGATGGAGAGCGAGGGGAGGGAGGGAGGGAGACAGAGAAGGGTAGGGGTGACAGAGTCTGAGCAGGAGGGCTTTCTTGGCCAGGTGAAGCATTTGGGGCTGCTTCTAAGAGCGGTGGGTTTTAAAAGCAAGGTCTTCACATCAGGGATTGATGTAACCAGATTTGTATGGAGCTGGGGGAGAGGGAGGGAGGGGGCCCATTGCAGAGGTCCTTGGGGGGCCCAGGCAAGCAGTGCTGCTGGCTTCCCTAGAGGAGGGAGGCTGCAGGCGGCAAGGCCAGCCCGCTGGAAATGTGCTTGGGTCTACTTGGAAAGGGTCAGCGGCCGACTGTGGGAGCGGTTTGGATGGAATGGAGCATTGCTCCATTAGGTGGCTGATGGTCAGGCTGGGCTCCGAGGATGGCAAGCCGCAAGGTAGTGGGGGAGGGAGAGGAGAGGTTCCGCTTTGCACGTAACGGGAGAGGTGTGGGTCTGGGGGCTCAGGGAAGAGACAGGGCAGAGGGTGGAAGAGAGAGGAGAGACTTTCAAATCAGTTTCTATTTTGAACACATAAACAAGTATGACTAATAATAAGACACTTATGTCTCTATCATTGGGATTTGATATATCGAAATGTTGCCACATTGACTACAGAGGTTCTTAATTTTTTCAATTGAGAGCAAATAACCTAAGTAGAAACAAAATAGCAGTTAACCGCTGTCTCAGAGTTGTCCATATTTTGGTACTTTATAATGTTTATAGCCATAGTCTATAAAAAGAGAGGTATTTTAGCACACGAACTGGATACAGACTGCTGGGGTCGGCATTCAAGCTTCACTTGCCTTGCAAGACATTTAACCTGTGTGTGCCTCAGTTCCTTCTTCCGTAAAGTATATTTACCGTCCCTGGGACCCCTCATCTCAGCTAATTTCCTAGATTAGATGTTGGCAGGGAGGCCGATAAGTCAGAGTGTCAGCGTCACACCAAAGAGAGAGACAAGAACACAGTAAAGCCAATAAACCGAGTAAAAGAAACCACACAGTCCCTCAAAGCTGTTGGCCACGTAGCGTTAGGGAGACAGCAACAGCGTCGGTGCTGTGTCACCGAGGAGCATTAGGAACAGGTCCTTATCTTTCGGTTTGTGTTGAAGTTTCCAGTAAAGATGGGCAGAAGCGGAAACGTGACACTTCAGTTCCCCGGGCGCCCAGGGGGAAGTATTTGTCTCCAGCGATGCCTGGCAAATGAACCAACATCTGCATCATGTGTCTCATTTGACACAGTTTTCGGGGGACCTATGAGGGAAGGGGTTCAGTGCTGTGCTGGGCCACAGATTTGTGGGGCTGATCAGGATGTGGGCCCTGCCCCAGAGTCTGATGCTCTCAGTGCTGAGGGTGCAGGGCTTCCTGGAGGAGGTGCTCTCCTAGGAGAATGAAAAGGACCTGGCAGAGTGGGGCTGAGGAGCCTCTGAGCAGAGGGACAGGGTGGAAACACGTGGCTGAGTGTGAGCTCCGAGCATAGAAGTCACTTGGGGGCCAGAGCAGTTTTGTTTGTGAGGGACAGTGTGGGGAAGAGAGGCCCAAACACAGGGCGAGGTCAGATCCTGCTGCAGGTCTTGCATAGAAGTCATCAGGTGGGCAGGAGAGGAATCTCTGGAGGAATCCAAGCTGGGAGTCACAGTGGAGTCAAGCTGTTAGATGGGCTTGGGTTCAGACCCCTGCGTTGCCTCCTGTTAGCTGTGTAATCTTGAGCACAATCACTTGGTGCCTCTTAATATTCTGGTCTGTAAAATGACAGGATAAGAAGCTCTAATGGTCACTGGAAGGACCGGCTTTGCCGCTTCCTGTTCAGTACTGTCTTAGTGCCTGCTCCATGAAGTGACTCTGCGATGGGCACCTGTTATGATCAGATTGGAAGGCATGAAGAGACATCTTTTGTGACAGAGTGGAGGGCGGACTGTGCTTCTAAATGGATCCTCTGAAGGCCTGAAGCAGTGGAATTGCAGACAGTTTGGTTGGGAGCCGAACACAGGGCTTTGAGGCTGGCTTGCCCTTAACAACTGGAGTTGCCTTTGCAAGTTAATGCCGATAAATGGGGCTCATGGGCAATCTGTTTTCACTGTTGGGTATAGAAACTCACATTTCATGGATAAAATGTTTTCACTTACAATGTGAGGACATTTTGTTCTTGGAAGCAGCCTGTCCTTTTGCTGTTGGCTCTTTCTTCCTGTGGACCACTAGAGGTCAGCAAAGACATGCCAGAAGGGGAACCGTGCTCTCCTGCGCTGGGTGGGCGGGGACAGTGCAGATGTGGTTCCCTGGCTCTGTGAGTTTTCCCCAGCACGAGGCTTGGCTTGAGTTGACTCATCTCCATGTTTGTTTGCCAGATGAGCAGGCAGCAAGATAATGAGTTCTGGTGGGATTTTATAAGAACAGCAAAGAAGAAGGGTCTGTAGTTTTTCTGAAATAGAACAAGCTTTTGATTCTTGATCAAGTATAGTCCATTGTAGAATTGATGAGTTGTGTCTATTCCTGGAAATTATTTTGGCTAATGTGGAGATTTTGAAAGGAACTGAGATACTATTATTGCAGGTTCCTTCTGCTTTAAGAATCCCTGTGCACATATGAAAACTGATAAATAATACATCTGGATTTAGGGGTATTAGAAAGGGTTTTTTTGTTTGATGGAATTCACCGCAGAGTTCTTCCTCCTTGTGTGGAGGGAACCCAGGAGGTGGAACTTACAGTGAGCCGAGGTGGTGCCACTGCACTCCAGCCTGAGCGACAAGAGCAAAACTCCATCTTAAAAATAAATAAATAAATAGGCCAGGCGCGGTGGCTCACGCCTGTAATCCCAGCACATTGGGAGGCCATGGCAGGTGGATCACGAGGTCAAGAGATCGAGACCATCTGGCCAACATGGTGAAACCTCGTCTCTACTAAAAATACAAAAATTGCCTGGGCATGGTGGCTCACGCCCCAGCTACTTGCAAGGCTGAAGCAGGAGAATCACTTGAACCTGGGAGGCGGAGGTTGCAGTGAGCTGAGATCTCAGCACTGCACTCCAGCCTGGCAACAGAGTGAGACTCCATCTCAAAAAAAAAAAAAAAAAAAAAAGCATTCAGCAAACATGTCTGCCTCACTGCTCACTGGTTGTATCAAAGGGATGCAGGCAGTTCCTGTTTATTGAGGACCCATGAACAGATAGTTTACTAGCTTGTGAATTTGGTTATTTTCTTTAACCCTTAAAATTCTGTTCCAGTATAGTTATTCTTGTTCATAGAGGAGGAACCTCAGGCTAAGGAAAGATTGTACAGCTTATCCAAAGCCAGACCATAATTTCAGAGGAGAGGGGCCTCCGGA